ATCCGGAGAAAAATCTCTTATATCCGGGTCTCTTATATCCAGGTTATACTGTAATTGTTCTATTATATTATTAGTTATTGTTGTTATATGTTCTTATAGGGACTAATTGTATGTATTTATTTATTCGGTATCTCTCCAAGCAAGGCAGTAATCCCACAAAAGCACAATGGATTACAGAGGAAGAATTAGGAACAGAAACATTAATAATGAGCGAGAAGAAAAGAGTAATCAGGAGGACAGTAGATAGCGATTGACACTGCATTTCAATTTTTGCAGATTAAAGTTGGCTGGGAAGCATGGAGTTGGAAGGGAGTTCTACAAGCGAGAAATGCGAGTGAAGAAACCGTTATCATGGAATTTACGGCTACACCTATCCAGCTCAATTGTAAACTGATGAGATCTCGACGCCAATCTAGTGTTGCGCTTAAATTAAAAAAAAACTCTAGGTAGCATAGCGAAGAACTCATCCTAACAATTACCATGAAAGTGTTTAATTAAAAGTGACTGGAAACCGAGTTACCAGATGAGGACCGTTAATATTGCTGATTATTCTTTGGATCTTATCAAGGAGCTCAAGGTAAATATCAAGGACACTGGACCATACGTGGCAACAATATTCTAAGCATGGGCGAATGATAGATTTATAGATATGTAAGATAGATTCTGGCGAGAAAAATTGTCTCACTCGACATATTGAGCCAACTTTCTTAGCAACACAGCTAGCAATGAATTCAATATAGTCTTTATATTTTATATCAGTAAAGAACATGAGCATGAGAAGGTGCAACGTGTCATTTTCATGGCGGTTAATATCAGCCATGTTGATGGAAGACAGCGAGTGGTCTCTCAGATGTTTAATGCAGTTAATTTTAGTTTTGGCGGAATTAAAATTAACAAGCCATCTTGTGCCCCAGATAACGACGGACTTGAGGTTGTTTTGGACATCGGCTGCCATTTTGACCTTGTCGGACTGATGAGCCTTAATATCCACGAAGGAGTAAATTATTGTGTCATCAATGATGATATCATGTTGAGATCTGACGTCATCAAGAAGTTCATTAATGAAAATTAAAAGCAGAGTAGGACTAAAGATATAGCCCTGGGGACATCCGTGTTACTACGACTGGGTCTATACGAGTGGACGTTCAGGATAACTTTCATTTCACGATTTGAGAGGAATGACTGTATCAGCTCTATAAATTGTCCTGGGATACCGTAACTTTTCAGCTTGTGGGGCGGACATTAATTTCATACCCTGTCAAAGGCTTTCGAGATGTCAGCAACAGTAGTTGACCTGGAGAAACTAAAGTTGATTAGGGCGTCTATGGGTTTCGCAAAAAAGAGGTAAAAGGCTAATAGGCCGATAGTTGGATGGGTCGTTCGGCTCCCCAGACAACTGGAACAACAGATGATGAAAGCAGGATGCAGCGAGGTATTTATTATATTTCTACAGAAAAAAGAAGCCAGTTCGGGTGTATAGTTCTTAATGATTATTTGAGGATATCATCGGGGTCTACATGTTTTGTGGGTACCTAGGTTAGAGATGATAGCAGAAACCATGGACGAGTTTATATGCATATCACTAAACAGAGACTCAGTTCTAGGAGGGAAATTAGCAGGGATAATCCGGATTAGTTAAGAGTTGAGTATGAGGAGAATTCAGGGGCAAAGCATTCAGCTTTACAGCAATATATATATTTATCTCTTGCATGATTGTTGGCAATATAATTATTTTATTTTGTTATAGGTTTTGCAGTACATACTCGTAAATAATTTAACAGGAGATGTAAAATGTGACGCCGAAATTGCAACGGAATAGCGGAAGATAACGTCCAAAACCTAAACAAAGTATTAAGAAAATGGAATATTTGCTAAAAACTACGAAAAGTCTGCTGTACTGTTATGAAATATCTGTTACATTTTATGTCGCCTATACTACATAAAACAGTATCAACAAAAAGGGCCATTTCTTTTTGTTATTCGTTTTATAGGAGAGCTTGTATTCTAAATGCACTGGGACGTCAAAGGAACGCATGCCGCACATTGGCACAGCGTCCCTCCGCGGGTGGTTTTAGCAGGTCGTTTTCCTGGGTGTGGGAGGCGTATCGACGTTTCAGAATTCTTGCGACCTCTGTTGAATTCGCGCCGTTTTTGGACATGTATCCCAGACCAGACAAAGACAATCCATCACTGTCAGAAAACTACGCCCACGAGGCACTTCGTCCAATTGCTGTATCATATTGGCCTTCTTATATAGCACTGAATGCTGGATGTTTGTAGATTTGGAGGAACATAAATTAGGTTCTACGGAAAGATGCTGAGAAAGCTATGAACGAAATATGGAAGCAACGTTTAATGAAAATGAAACTAATAAGAGACTTATACTTGGAATTAATAACCGACAGTTGGAATTTTTGTGACACATGATGGGGAAAGAGGTCTTAGAAAATTTGACAGTCAGGGGTCATATTGAGGAGATGATGACCAAAAAGAAACGGCATTTAATCTCCAAAAGAAGAATGTGTCAATTGATGTCAGAACGGAATTAAAAGCAGCAAAATTAGGAATATTTTTGAGAGGCATGAACTATATTACTTTTAAATGGCGGTTCGATTTGATTGTCATCAACGTACGCAGGCTTTCCCTAATTTTTTGCTTTCCCAAATCAAAAATGTATCTTCCAAGACAAGTAAACCACATATGAGCTGTACTCTAAGTTATGGCACCATCTACATAAACGACATATATCATTTTGCTGTTCATGATTGTTTTATAGAATTTAACCTTAAGCAAAGCAGGAGTGCCACTAGTACGCAGGGGGAGGGGGTGACAGAGAGTGAAAGTAAGAAAAAAGACGGGTATAGTGGTCATTGAGGAAAGGATAAAACAGAACGAGGATCAAGACATGAGAAGATGACGATTGACGTTGCATTAAAATTGTTGAAGATTGTAGTTATCAGGGAAGTAAGTAAGAGGAAGGGAGTTCAACTGTCGGGAAGTGTGAGAGAATAAGCTCTTGGAATAGAAGTGGCAGTTACATCTAACTATTTCAACATGAAAAGGGTGGGACCTAGATGCCAATCTAGTAGGACGCTTAAATTCATGAAGTCGGGGCAAAAAGAAAAAAGCTCGTCAGAGTAGTTGCCTTGAAAATATTTGTAGAAAAGTCAGAGAGAAACCACTTCACGTATGTGAAAAAATGTCTGTTGTCGAGATGCTAGGCCAAGACCGACTACATTGCAGATCTTTGGATTTTGTCGAGGACCTCAAGATGAACAGCAGGGACACTAGATAATATATGACAGTAGTATTCAAGACAAGTAAACCACATACAAGCTGTACCCTCAGCTATGGCACCATCTACATAAACGACATATATCATTTTGCTGTTTATACAGCGTTTCTTTTCTTTATAGAATTATAAGTGAATGAAATAGGAACATTGTTTTCTCCATTTTCCCTTATAACATGGATTAAAATTACCAACCAGCACACGAATGCTATAAAATGACGCATCGTAATATCACCTTCTAGAATATGTAAGTATATAATAAATAAGTCACGTATGGAACGAAATCACATTTTCAATTCTCACCTGTTGTAAAACGATAAGAAGTTTTGTTTCAACCCTATACAAGAAAAAGCGGTAATACTATCAACCTGTTAAAAAATTGTAACCCATAAGAAACGGAATCATACACAGCACTCAAAAAAATTCGGAGGGATTGTAACTAAACAAGAAAATAATTTTATAATAAAAATGATAACTTTCGACAATAGCAAAAACAAATGACTTGGAAAAAGAAAGCACTGGACACGAGAAGTCTAATTTCTTGAAGAAAAAACAAAAAAAAACTCCCTTATAAAAAGACTTTATAAATTTAGTTCGGCAAAAACAATAACTGTTCGATTAAATGAAAGACAAATGTTTTCTGTATGGAAACAGTTGGCTATAAACATGACGGTTAACATGTTTTTCTGTAAAACCACAAAAAATGAGACATTTAAGGTAATTAAATCTTTATCGTCTCAGCTTCCAGACAAGAACTTTTATTTTAATGTTTGTCTGACTCAAAGATCCCATCGGATAATTGCGTAAAATAGTTTGAGATAATGAAATGATTTGATTATTGTTTTACGCCGTCAGCAAGGAAATCAACACGTGCTTCTTAACTATTTTCTTATGTGTATAGTATAAAGAAAAAATTAATATCAATAATCCATTTAATACCCAACTTGTTTTCCTCTTGCTTATTTCGCGAAGAAACTGCCTTGGGAGAGAATGACCTCTAACTAACTTAAGGACGTAATGAAGCTAAAAATACCCACAGGCATTATGATTATTGGAAGAAATATTAAGCAAAATAAACATGCACTTATAGTCCAAAAAGAGAGGGCTACACCAACAAAAGAGATTGATTTGTTTTTATTTACGGTTTATCAACACTTTGTGGGTTATTTAAAGTCGAAACATATTTAGGATTAGTAAAGACCCTTGTGTTAGGATAAATTAATTTTGTAGATAGAGTGTTAATTAAAATAAATTAGTTATCTCCAAAACGAGGTACTTTACAACGACCTCCAAGAAAATGATATATTTGGGATTATAAGAATATTTCTTTTCGATTTTTGTGATTAAATATTGCATTAACATTTTCTTGAAGATAATAAACGTTTTTTGCAGATACAAGTCCTACTTTTTAAAATATAACTAGGGATAGAATATATGAATTCATATCTTTCCCAAGAGTATTTACGCATAAGTGAATTGAACCTAAATCGACTGGAATTCGAACTTAGTTCTCCGATTTTGTTTAATATCCGCTTCAGTATCCGTTACACCACCCTTAGCTCCACCAACAAAAGAAAAGGCCACACCAATAAATTAGTAGGCATAAAAAGGAGACAGTATCAAACGAGAAGGGGGCACTAAATGATGAGTGGCGAATCAAAAAGACTAGGTGACACCAAAGGAGAAGGGGACCCCGACAGATTAGCAATTATAAAAACGAGGTGGTATCAAACGCGATGGGGACACTAAAAGAGAAGAGGCGAACCAAAAAGACTCGGCAACACCAAAAAAGAGGGAGACACCAATAGATTAATAGGTATAAAAGAGAGGCGTTATCAAATGACAAGGAGTCACTAAAAGACGCGTGGCGTACCAAAAAGACTATGTTACAGCAAAGGAGAGGGGGACCTCATAGATTAGCAGTTATAAAAACGAGACGACATCAAACGAGAAGGGAACACTAAAAGACGAGAGGCGAACCAAAAAGACTCGGCAACACCAAAAGAGAAGGGGACAGCAAGAGATTAGCAGGCATAAAAAAGAGGCGGTATCAAATGAGGAGGGGACACTAGAAGTTGAGTGGCAACCCAAAAAGACTAGGTAACACCAAAAGAGAAGGGGACACCAATAGATCAGCAGGTATAAAAAAGAGGCGGCATCAAACGAGAAGGGGACACTAAAAGAGGAGAGGTGAACCAAAAAGACTGGGCAACACCAAAAGAGAAGGGGACACCAAAAGATTAGTAGCCATAAAAAAGAGGCGGTATCAAATGAGAAGGCGACACTGAATTAGGAGTTGCGAACGAAAAAGACTATGCAACACCAAAAGAGAAGAGTTCACTGATAACTTAGCGGGCATACAAAGGAGGCGGTTTCTAACGAGAAGGTGACACTAAACGAGGAATGACAATCCAAAAAAAAAAAGACCAGTCAACATCAAAAGGAAAAGGAACACCATATAAAATGAATATAAATGAAAAGGATTTTTTTTTCGAATTGCCTTATGCCAGATACATTTTCATAAAATACAATTTGATTTATTTGGGAAGTATATTGGAATAATTCAGAACATAGACAAGGTGCTTTCTCACAGATTTTTTTCTAGTCTTTATATAAAGTGAATACCAGGTGCCGTAAGCTTCGATGTACGGTTCTGTGATAGATAAATGACGCGGAATTGTTAATCGGAGAGCCGAGTTCTAATTAGAGACGGGTTCTTTATATTCACTTAAGTGCAAATACCCTTGAAAAAGGTAAGATTCCACCTCTTGTCCCCCAGCTATGGGTTAATTACTATTACGAAATCATTATTATCTCGAAAAAAATCTTATAATCTAGTCGATAAGCCTTAAAAAAACGAATCAATCAAATCAAATAAATTTACAGCGAGACTCTCCTAAGATAATTAGAAGCGCCACCATACACATCTACAAATCTACCATTCGTCCATGAATTGAATACTATTGTCCTATATTGTCTGGTGCCCCTGCTATTCATCTCGAGGTTCGCGACAAAATCCAAAGAAGGATCTGCAATGTAATCGGTCCTGACATGGCTTCTCGACCACAGTCATTTTCTCACAGACGTGATGTGGCTTCCCTCTGTCTTTTCTACAAATATTTTCAAGGCAACCGCTCTGACGAGCTTTTTTCCTTTTGCCTCGACTTCATGAACTTAAGCGTTCTACTAGATTGGCATCTAGGTCTCACCCTTTTCATGTTGAAATAGATGTAACCGCCACTTCTATTCTAACAGCTTCTTCTCCCGCACTTCCCGATAATGGAACTCCATTCCTCTTAATTGCTTCCCTGATAACTACAGTCTTCAAAAATTTTAATGCAACGTCAATCATCATCTTCTATTGACTTGACCCTCTTTCTATTGTACCCTTTCCTCATTTCCCACTATATCTTGTCATAGGAAGAAATGGAGAAAGGTTTTGTTCACCAATGGATTTGGAATAACTGATGATTTTAACGACGAGGAATAATTTTTAGTCATACAACTTGCAGTTTTAAACAAACTTGTAAAGTTTCTTGAATCTTCTCTGGGTATGACAGAAAATTTAAATGGTGAAGGGAGAAAGTGCGTCAATTTTCTCCAGTCCGATCAATCAACTACCAAACGGTGTTGGCAGCATTTTGTGTAAATAATGAAGCGCTTTCCTGTTTGAATTAAAAATGAATAAAAAACTAAACCGTTCTAAATTGATTTTACACAAGAATGGCGCCCTGCGTATGCAGTCTAAGTGTTAATTTTAAGATCAGACTTTAAAAAATAATTTAAAAGAAAAATTGATTTCTTTTAAGCTCGCCCAAAATATTCCTTTTTATTTCAGAATAATTTATGATTAATTTGAACGATCCTAAATATCTCTGCCTCCATTCTATATTGTTTCAATTTATTTTTAATTATAATTTGCACATTTAATTATTCGATGCTCAGTTGATAAACATCAACAGTGAGAAGTCAAAATAGTTGCTTGTCGCCAAAAAGAAGCCCCAAACATGCAAATTGCAGATGCGAAAAAGGAAGCAAATAAAAAAGAAATCTCTATGAATCTGTTTAACGACGAACGGAAAGTGCGACACTGAAATCCGAAGGCGCATTAGGTTAGCGAAATATGCTTTTCCAAATATAAACAAAGTATTAAGAAACCGGGAAATGCTGTTAGAAACAGAGAGAAGAGTGCTGTACTGTCATGTCCTATATGGAAGCGAATGATGGTCAATCTCCTCACAGACGAAAAAGAGATTTGAGGCAACAGAAATGTGGTTCTAGAGAATGATGCTGAGAATACGAACTGAAAATGTAAGTCATAATGAAGTTTTAGAGATAACCAAAACAAGCAGGACACACATGCTTAACATCGGAAAAAGACATTTTGGAAATTCTATGACGCATAATGAGTAAAGAGGGCTTGGAAAATTTGATACTCACATCACCAATGTACAGGTGGGACAGAGGAAAGTACCGCAAAATTGACCTGACGATTTTGTGTAAATGGTTTGCATAACAAGGCAAGTGGGATGATAGTAAAAAGACATTTACGAAGAGCTATAAAGAACAGGAATTTATGGCGAGACTTGACCGCCCACATCCTGAAGGGAAACACCACATAAAATAATAGGAAGAAGAATAGCCCCCAAAAGGTACATGATTCCTTTTTAGATACAGAAAATAAAAATAAAACTTATAATTTTTCTTCTATACTGGTTACCATCCACGAATAAAAAGTTCATTCTGACCTGCTGTTAAACACATAGCTAATGACACTAGTATATTATTTTGACTGGCCAAAATAATTCACTGAAAGTCTATGTAGAAAGAAGCTTCTTTTGTTTCTTTTGTAATGCATACAATTTTGGGTCAGTATTATCGCGAGATTAGAATCGTTATTGAGACGAATGTATGTTTTATTAGGTTGTTTGGAAAAAGATGCCCATGGATTAATGTATTTAAACAGTGTTTAGGTTAATCAAAAGAGGAACCTTGAACACCTATACATTCCTGCCATCGAGTTACAAAGTTGTTTATGACTTTACGATAAAATGCTGAAGCTTTGGACACCAAGAAATCTTTGAATGCAGTTTCTGCATTTTCTTTGCAACGGAATTTATTTCAGTTCTAAGAAAAATGTCATGATGCTTGGAAAACAGGTAGTCCATGGCATTATGGTAGATGTGGGAAAGTTCCTTTTCCCAAGTCATCAAGTTTTTGGCAGGTCAAACTGGCAATATGAGAACGAACAAAGTCATAAACAGAATTAGATCTGGTCGATTAGCCAGTGCGGGTGGCATTTTGTTTAACCAAATTTCATCAAATTGTTCTCAGTAAACTTTTCAGGAATATTCTGGTGAGATTCTAGAAAGTTGTAAATGATATTGCCAATGACGGCCCACAAGAGAGTCGACATAATCTTCTGTTGATGCAATTTTGGCTTTGGAAAGTGTTTGTTTCCTTGATAATGACGAAGCCATTGAGCCGATCCTTTATCATTACAATTCACTATTCCATCAAATTCGAATTTCGCAGCTGCAGCATCGAGCACATATATAAACCTCGAACGCTTTGACTTTGACCGAGTTCATGTGGGACCCATTTGTCGAGTCTCTTCACCTTGCCAATTTTCTTGAGATGGTCCGATATTTTTGAAACATTTATCTGACGCTTTGATCTGGGTTTTGTTCGACTTGTGTCTTCGGTTGTTGATTGTGAATTGCAGATAGACATCCTCTATTACCTTGATCTTCAAGACACGTATCTCCATTATGAAACTTCAGAAGCCAGCTTCGTACTGTCCTATCACAAGTGGACACTTCAACCCATTCTTTGTTAATGTTGGCAGAAGTTTGCCAATCATTATGACCAAACTTGAACACAATTATACAATAAAAGTAAACGCATCTCTTCTTTTTTCGTGTTAAAGATGAGGTGTTATAATTTTCTAAGTTAAATTCTGAAAAAGACTTGTATAAAATTAGCAGTGGACACTTCTATATAATACTCGGTGATTGCGAGCGTAAATGCGTGCTTCTGTGTTGTATCCATCCCGTGTATAATGATTTACGAGTTGTTTTTGGTTTGGTTTGGTTTATGGCATATCAACCTCAATGGGTTATTTAATACCGATAAGATTTTTACTGCTGGTAATATTTTTCGAAAAACGTATTGCTGGTAATATTTATTTTCTTCAAAAATGTATTGCTGGTAATAATTTTTTACAAAGTATTTCTAGTCTGTCTATATTTCTTAGATGAGGTATTATGTACATTATTTACATTATTCGGATTATTGTCCTCATCTTTTTCGCCATATCTATCACAACGTTTCGGCCGTTGTACGTTCTAGAACAGTCTACCCCAGTGAGCGAAATAAAGGGTTCAGTTCGACATTCCAACCACCTAAAGAAGGCCGGAGCGTACAATGGCCGAAAAGTTGTGATAGATATGGCGAAAAAGATGAGGACAATAATCAGAATAATGTAAATAAATTATTTCTAGTATTAAAACCTATGTTTACAATTTCATAGTGTTTTGAACCCAGTTTGGGGGCTTAAGTATTAGCCCATAGCTGCCACCCTAAAAGGTGCTACCACCCCGGGTCAGGGTGAACCTGGGAACACGAGGAATTAAGAGGTATTTCCACGTTCCTCAAAACCTCCTGATCAGATGACTTGCTGCCGGACGTAGTTTATCGTCTTACCCAGGACACGGTTGTAATTTATCGTTATACCCAGCGTGTGAGTTGTTTATACAGCAAGTATTTTTAATTTAACTTTCTTCAAACAGACAATTTTTTTTAATTAAAATATTTTTAAGTTGAAGACAGACACAAAGATATCCCGCTTTGCTGTTTAGTCAGTTGTTTGTAGAGCAATTACTTATAATTCAGTTTTTTTTAATATTGAAACAAAAGTTTTGTATTATTTTAAAAATTAAAATTAAAAGTTTATTCCGGAAGTTCTATTGCTATTAAATGCTGTAAACAATCAGTAAAACGTTAAATATGAACTTTTAAACCAGACCAATGAGTATACAAAAGAACTGAAATATTTAACAGAACTATAATATAATTAACATTTAATTTCAATGAAATGTTGAAATCAACTTATAACCTGAACTGTCAGTGACCCAACGTGTCACGGATCGTCCAATGAATAGTATATTTTAAAGAAACAATTAAAATTCTAAAATCGGACATTATTTTCACAACCTAATATATACAGGTTGCGTCACGTATTTGAGAACAGCAATCTAGAACCATTATGATCAAACTTGACCTCATGAAAAAATAAACGCATCTCTTCTTTTTTTTCTTCTTGAAGATGAGGGACGATACCTTTGAATGAGTGATGAGAGACGATGCATTAGGTTATATCCTCAGATAGATCCATATGAAATTAACGAGGAGGACACGTTAATCACTATGAATGAGTAATATATTTTTTGTTCAAATATTATTATAATACATTAGAACACAATAGGTCTATTCTGAAATCCGACATTACTTTCTGAACAATCAAATATGAAAACGTCCAATTCAGATTTCAGATGAGGAATAGAGGCAACCAGTAAAGTCGTTACTTGAAACAAAGAATGTCAAGAAACGGCGGATAATATGTTTTAAGGTTATGATTTCTGACAAATTCCAGTTTGAAATATAAACTTATTTTTAGATTTAGTTTTTAGGACAAATTGTTTTGTGTTAAAGTTCAAAATTTTATTTAAAAGTTTAATAATTATATTAACACCTTTACTGTCCGCCGTCCCATTTTTGCGACGCAAAACATTTCAATGGCTGCACCTGAATTGCTTGTATCACTGCGAAACAGATGCTTTGTATTCCGCATGTGACATCAAGTGCATTCACACATTTATAATACTCTGTCTTCACACTGACAATGGTAGCTGTCATTTGCACCAAATTCCAGTGTCTGCAGAATCAAAATTCGTCATTAATAGGTTAATTAAAACGATATTTTATTTCTCCAGACCATTCCAATAAGAGACGATTTTTTTCTTCGGCCAGAGTCTTCTATTTTTGCCAATATTTTATTTTTATTAATCATCTCACCCCAAGCAATACAATGAAATTAAGATTCAGTGGTCGGGGGTTACTGAGTGTGTGAGAATATAAGAAAAATAAAACGTTTTTAAGAAAATAGATCAATAAAAGAACAGGAATTAAGAATATATAAGATAATGATTAACATTGCTTTTCAATTTTTGAAGGTCAAAGTTGACCGGAAAGCAAGAAGCTAGAAGGGAGTTTGACAAGCGAGAAGTGCGAGAGAAGAAACTAAATACAGTGTAACCCGGATATAAGAGAGATTTTCTCTGGTCCCAAATTAGAGCCTGTGTTAATGTATATATAATAGACCAAACCCGGATATAAGAGAAACCCGGATATAAGAGAGATTTTCTCTGGTCCCAAATTAGAGCCTGTGTTAATGTATATATAATAGAACAAATCCGGATATAAGAGAAACCCGGATATAAGAGACTTCTCTTATATCCGGGTTACACTGTATATAAAAATGCATGGTATTTTTTGCAAATTCGTGACATTGTATAAATAATCTGAACAGGATTTATTTGTTTGTTTTTTTTTTTTTTCAATTCAAAAAATTACCCAATACAAGACTCGAGAGTCACTCAAGGTAGAGGATTCCTATTAAAATTGTTATAAGGAATGAGGTATATGATAAGTTGGTGAGAGGAAGTGAAAATCGAAAGCAAGGAGAACAGATATCGAATAACCCTTGATGTGAAGAAAGTAACTTTTTAGTGCTTGGAGAAGCATACATATCAAAGTCTCTCCCACAAAGTAGTAGATCTTTGTGAAAAATGCTGTTTGAGTGCAACTTTCTCTTTACATTTAGAATGAGGAGGGTGATTCAACTCTGTGGGAGTGGGACTATAATAAATAAATAAATAAATGCCATAATTTGTTTTGGATTGAATTCTTTTTTCTTTATCATGATCAGAAGAGAAACACAAACTAGTAAGTCTCGTTGTAATGCAATAGGTTTCACACTAATTCTGTTGACACTAGTAGGGACTTGTTCTTAATTACTTATTGCGGCATTCATCCGGGATCTGGTAAGCCGATTCCGTCAAACGAAGCTGTCGCATCACGAACGAAAGTCGACCAACGTCGGCGGTCGAATGAAATTGAGTTAGTAAGAACGAACCAAACACGGGTTCCATCGGACGTAGCAGTGGCTGTATTCATTTGGACGTGCAAAGTTCGTAGTAGAAGTTTCAGTAGGAATTTAAATTCACAAGTGGACCCCAAAAGCATGTATACACACTTTGCCATAGTGCATTCCGACTAGTGATTCGGTTGAAGCGCCGAACCATTCGGTTTCCTCACCCAACTCAAATCGCTGGTGGCATGAACGCGACGGGGACGCGTGGGGAGAAAATCTGCCTGGCAGAAGTGTGAGACGTGGTCATGAGTTGATCACGTGATCATGATGCACAGCCGATTTTGAAATACTTTGTAGGCTAGCAGGATCTCCTCCCCACTCTCTAGATCAGGCATACCGGTTCCTCAAACCGAGTAGGGAGTTGGAGGTTCACCAGGAGCCTAAAACTTGGAGGTTTTCTTTTTATCAGACTAAGCTTAAGCAGAGGCATTATGCTTACTTATCTCAATTTAGCAAAACACTAGCAGCATGGCCCGGCGTTGCCCATGCTGGATTCAAAAATCGTACGGCTCATACAGCAATCGCTATTACTTGACGTAAAATATTTTTGCCCTTTCTTGCCTTTAAACGAGTGTCCTTTTCCGTGCTGATGTTGCTACATGCCTTACTTCTTGCCTATCTCACACTTCGAATTTTTTCTAAGCTCTATACTAAACATTAAATCTGTTACGAAAAAAGAACTAAACAAAATGAACACAAAACGATCAGCTTTAAAAAAGGACTCGTAACTGGAAACAGCGAATGAAAAAAGAATGTTAACAACAAACACTTTTTCACACCCAACCCAGTTCTGCGGAATCAGAATCAACGTTGAGTTTAAGCAAGCGAATGAGCCAATTGGTGTAAAGTGCCATGCAGATTTAAATTTTTTCCACTTGTGACGAATGCAGCTATCGATTTTTTTTGCATGCTAGCATGCTAGTTAACATTCGTGTCAGTCAGCTGTTGGCTCTCACGCTGACCAATAGAATATTCCTGCCTATTCGTGACAGCCAGCTATAGTCGCTCACTCTGGCCAGTAGAAAATGGCCGCAAACTACATGAAAACTGCCGTAGAAGCATGAAAAAAATCGATTATTTCCACTGTCGATGGGAGTTGGGAAATGCAAAGTCGGTCTTGGCCTTTCCGCTAACTTGGATCATGTGCATGTAAATTTTGGTGCAAATCCGTCGGTAATTGCGGCCGTGCATTGGTTACACACACACACACACACGCGCGCGCGCGCGCACACACACACACACATCCTGCCTTTTATAGATAGAGATAAACAAATGACAGCCAAATATTTTGTATATCAATACACGGAAAGTTCAAATCGCACTGAGTGACACTGATTTTTTTTTTTTTTGTAGCCTTTGAGTTGGAGAAGGTATTTTCTGCTGACGATTGACGAACAAAACTTTTTGCGCTGAGTTGTTTAAAAGAAATTAGCTCCCCAAAGAATAAATATGGTGTAGCATTTTGCTGTCCTGGTCTCTTTTAGTATAGGGAGTTTTCAGGATAATTCTTGAAGTAGTAAGTAAAGTTCGGAATATTTTTTATAAAAAAAATTGAATGGCTGAAATTACTTTGTTGTTGAATGAAACTGTCAGTGGGTGAGCGAGTGAACGTCCAAGCGAGTGAGTTGTCTTTATGGGAGACGTTGTGTTCTAGAAGCGTGAAGATTGGGGCCATTCACCATTCGTGGTGCTACCAAAAACTGCTCACTCTTTAAAAATTCCTAAGCATGGTTTAAGTTTTCTTTTTTATGCTTTCCAATAATGCTGAAAAATGTAAATGTTGCTTAACCAGACACATACGCGTCTGGTTAAACAGTATGTGGCCTCGGCTACATTTTATTTATTGCTATTGAACAATCACAAAAAAAAGATCTTCTTTCAGTCCTGTCACCGGTCATCTTGATTTTTCTTTACTTTAGCGGCTGATGGATTGCCAGAAACAATCTGGTGAATTAAACCGATCAGTGCATTCGCTTATTATCCTAATAATAGTAAGAAGTGGAACTGCTAAAGACTTTGTTATTCCTAACGGGTTAAAAACAGAGCAAAAGTTCTACCTTAACTGAATCTATAAATCATTTTAGACTGTCCAAACAGGGAATCCGGAGTTGTTCATGCGAAGTTTAGTTTGATTTCTTTCCCGAAAGCATCTAACTGACTGCCAATCGTCTAGCTGACCGCTTTTCCGTAAATATTGTTCTCAATTATACAGGAGACACTATGTTTAGAAATCTGCAGACTGGATAGAAATAGTTATTTACTGTCAGCGATCTCCAGAAAACCTTTATTCAAATGACCGATCAATTATTAATGTGAGCCGATCAAATTACTAATGGACTTTATGCGGAAGAGAATAACGATATGGCTACCCCAGTTCAGTTCGCATTGTTTCATTAAATGAAAAGAAAACGATATTCAGTTTCCTATGGTTTATTTGCGAAAAGATAGATTAGAAGCTGTGGAAATAAAAAGAAGTAAAAACGGAACAATGTATGTGAAGATCTAGTACATTCAATTCTGAATACTTCTGAATGATTCTGAATCTTTCCATAATTGCAAAATGAGAAATATTTCTGTCCATATCTGTCTATCTTTCTGTCTGTCTAGTCTATTCATATCTGTCTAGCTTGCTAGCAATGTCAGTCTCTTCGTACACATTTATTGATGGATCTATCTAGCTAAATACGTGCATAGATAGATACATGCATACATATACATGAAGAGATAAGGACAGTTCGAGACTTTCATACGAATGTCATGCATGGCTCCCAGCCCATTCAGAAAAGTCTAAACTTTCGACTGTATAGAATCGTTTTCGCATATCAATGATTTAAAATGGCTTCGTGCCAATGAATGCTTCCATCCTTAGAAAGGCCTTCCCTTCTTCGAACCTTGTGACCTGGCGCTACAGGATCACAAAGATTCCATTTCAGATTTTAATATTTCCCCGTCCTTTGATATTCCTGTGTATTTTCGGTGGTTTTCTTTGGTCGTAGAAGAGTTTTCTGATATATTCGTTCCAGCTTAGATGTATGTTTTCTTTCAGCGGTTGAATCAAATTGTGCTAGTAAGAGACAACCAAACACGGTTCCATCGGGCGTAGCAGTGGCTGTGTTCAATTGGTCGTGCAAGTTTCATAGTGGTTGTTTCAGTAGGAATTCAAATTCACAAGCGGACCCCAACAGCACGTATACACACTATACCATAGTGCGATCCGACCAGTAATTCGGTCAGAGCCCCGAAACATTCGCTTTTCTCACCCAACTCAAATCGATTTTATGTATCCTGTTGATGAAAATATCTTGTAATGTAAGTTCTATTATTTTTTATACGTAACTGCTTTATTTGTAATACTCATTCTTTAAGTTTCTTTCTATTTCTGTACATCTTTCGTTGAGTTATTCCTCTTTAGCATCCTTGCATTTATTTCTAGCTCCTTTGTACAGAGTCATATATTCTGTTCCGTACATTGACATTGTCTCCTTTTCATCTGTCATCCCTTTTTTTTTCTTTGGGATTATCTTGATTGCTGATGTTGCTAAAGCTTCTCTTAACGTGGCCCACTTCAAGTGTTCATTTTCATTTTCTCAAACGTATCTACTTTACGCACAGTTCATATACAGTGGACTAAGAAAAGTTTTTAAGCCAGGAGAAATAAACTGAATCCAATTTCAAAATTTAATTACGTTATCCCTATTCAACATAAACAAAGAGTATTTGGATCTAGTGTGGAGTATGTCCTCCATATGCTAGTTTCGGTGCGTGTATTCGATTTTTCATGGATTTAATCAAGTTATCAACAATCGTCTGAGCCATATTTTGCAACTTCTTTAGCAATGTTTATTTAAGAGTTGCTACTGACGTGATTTTGGTTGTACGCTCTCGAAGTTTTCGGTCAAGGTGCTCCCAAACGTGTTCTATTGCATTCATGTCAGGACTTTGGGCTACCCATAGCAGTGACTTGATTCCTTGCGATTCCTTCCAGGCCTTTGCTACTTTGTGCGTATGGCATGGTGCTCCATCTTCTTGAAAAAGGCAGACATTCTTGTCAATCTGATTGGTTTCAAATAGTCGGAGCCGTACTTTCTCTAATACTGGCAGTAGAGTCCGGCGTTGCCCGGGGATGTAACAGTAAGAGATAGATCAAGTATCGACCATCATAAAAGACTGAAAATAAAATTGACAAAGATTATTGTTTAAGGTTGACGGATACGCATGTCTTAATTAGTTTTTTTTTTTTTTTTTTTACGAATTGGTCAAACTCAAACAAAAACATTGTTTTCAATCGTTATGAGTCTACCGATTGAATAGAATTGTATTATAACCAATTGACTTGTAAATGGAATTTTTAAAGCATTCTGGATGTAAAAATAAAGAAAAAAGTGTGCAAGACAATAAGAAACACTACCTGCCAAAAAAGTGAACTTTTGTTGACATCGGTTGAAAAATGTAGTAAATCCGATCCCATATATAAACAGAGACACACACACACAAACAATCTGGGTTTTATAATAAGTGTAACTCGATATGAGTTGTCCCCCTTTCATTCTCACGACAGCGATGCCTCTTAATCGTGTTTTCAAATTGATTTCGTGCAAAAACAATTGTGTTTTTTTCCAATTTTTGGCGCTGTCAGAACCACCGGAAGGTAATTTTACGTAGTCCTGTGAAGTTTTGTTGAAATCTGTTGAAAAATGTAGGAAATCCGATCCAATATATAAACGAACACACACACACACACACACACACACAGAACCTGGGTTTTATAATAAGTATGATTTCAGAATATTTTGGACTATTCAATCGCTCGTCAACAAGAATCAGCTCAGATTTCCCTCCAAACCAGACACCATTCCTCAAATCCCTCCATGTTTCACGGTCGCCTGCAGACATTCAGTGTTCCAAGTCTCATTCTGATTTCTCCAAACATAAACCTATCTCGGATTCGAATATTGACAGAATTTACTTTCATTTGACTAAATTACAGATTGCCAAAATTCATAATCTTTGCTCTCGTATTCTCTCGCCCAGTCCATACGAAGGTTCCTGTTAACCTCTGAAATCAAGGGCATCTTTCTTGCAACTCTTCTTTGATAGCCTAGCTCTTTCAGAGTCTTTCTCACAGCATATGGCCACATTTACATGCTGTTGGCGACATCTTTGACGCTATAACGACGGTTTCCAATGACTTACCTCTTCAGTGCCCCTTTCGTTCCCTCAGACACGATGCTTGGTCTTCCTAAACGTTGTTCCACATGACAATTGCCTTCTTCATTAAATTCCTTGACAATATTATTAACCGTTTGATGATTAACCTGGAAAAACGAAGCAATTTCTCTATTTGACTTGCCACACTGATGCCATCCTAATATTTGCTCTTGTTGAATTTCACTAATTTCCTTACTTCCACGAACTTTCACTGCAAGTCAACTATTGTTCATAGATGAGAGTAGCTTGATACTACTACGGTATTATTTGAAAAAAAGAAGAGACGTTATTAAACAAGCTAAAATTGCTGTAATCAAGGCTGGCTAAAAACTTATAACACACTGTATATTGCCTTCTGATTCGGGGCGTTCAAAAATCTGCCACATTGCATTTTGGGTACTACTTTTGGCATTCTTCAAAGTTCATTCGTAGTTTTATTTAAAATTTACATATCACTGGAAGGTGGTAGATTCCAGAGTTAACATTTGGGTTTGTTTTGAGATATAAAACTCCATCCCTGAATCGCTTACTCATACTTATATAGTCGATTTGATTTTTCATTTTTTTTTTTGGTTTTTTGTTTTGTTTGTTTTTTTCATGTACATATACGTCTTTGGTGTTCTTGAAACAAGGTGTTGGATACTATCTGGTTGTTTGTCTTGCAACATTGGACCCATTTTATTAAATGTTACATGTTACAATCTGCCAGCTGTTTTACCAACTTCCTTTGGCATTAAGGTCGCCATGACAATTGTAAAATTATCTTTTGAAAGGCACCTTTCGTAATTAGAACACAACTTCTGCTTCATATATTCCTTTATCTATAAAAAAAATTTCGATATGTTTGCATTTTTGTACTTTGATAATTTTGAAGTCACTTAGCAGGCATCTCGGGAAATTCGTCTTGCTGACGAGCCTCCATTCAGTCTTGTTACAATAGATGGTTAATACTTTTTGCTCGCTTTCCTTCACTACTTCGTCTGATAGTTTTCTTTCTGTGTCTGATATCAACACAATGTCATCTGCGTATCGTATGTCCTTCACTGACTATAAATGACAGGGCTTCTAATATTTTTTTTCAGTTTGTATCGCTTTAAAGATTACGTAAATCTTTGAAAAGACGCATCATTGTCTTACAACCTTTACCATATTTGTGTACTTAGTAAATCATTTTCTATATACTTGAAGCTTACTCCCATAAAAATACTAGTTTATAAAACTGGTAAAGTAAAATATTTCAAAATCTATTTAAACCTTCACTTAAAATTATTCTTCATCTAAAGATTAACTCATCTTCTCCGTCAGTCATTGCTGCTTGAACATTTGTTCTTCCGTTAAGTCTTCCCACAAAACTTCTCTATTCCTTAAGTCAAGATTTTCTCACATCATCATCTTCAGTCAATGTCTTCGCATTTTCAGAAAATACTTCTCGCAAATCTGTCCTTCAATTCAGTCATCACACAAAATTAATCTTCCCATTGCTTTACCTAGCTTTTTCCTTCAGTCATGCTTTTCTCTCGGCTTTATTCTGCAGTTAAGGCTTCACTGAAATTTGCTGTTTACTCAAATCTTCTCACAACTTTTTTCTTCGATCAAGGCTCCCCTCAACTTCTTCCTTCCATTAAGGTGTTCTCTCCCCTTTCATCTACAGTTAAGGCTTCACTGAAATTTGCTGTTTACTCAAATCGTCTCAAAACTTTATTCTTCCATCAAGGCTCCGCTCATCTTCTTCCTTCCATTAAGGTGTTCTCTCCCCTTTCTTCTGCAGTTAAGGCTTCACTGAAATTCGCTGTTTACTCAAATATTCTCACAAATTGTTCTCTGCCTTTCATCTGCATGTAAGGCTTCATGAAATTTGCTGTTTACTCAAATTTTCTCACAACTTAATTCTTCCATCAAGGCTCCGCTCATCTTCTTCCTTCCATAAAGGTGTTCTCTCACCTTTCTTCTGTAGTTAAGGCTTCACTGAAATTTGCTGTTTACTCAAATCTTCTCACAACTTTATTCTTCCATCAAGGCTCCGCTCATCTTCTTCCATCCATTAAGGTGTTCACTCCCCTTTCTTCTGCAGTTAAGGCTTCACAGAAATATGCTGTTTACTCAAATCTTCTCACAACTTTATACTTCCATCAAGGCTCCGCTCATCTTCTTCCATCCATTAAGGTGTTCTCTCCCCTTTCTTCTGCAGTTAAGGCTTCACTGAACTTGCTGTTTACTCAAATCTTCTCACAACTTTATTCTTCCATCAAGGCTCCGCTCATCTTCTTCCATCCATTAAAATTTTACTGTTCTCTCCCTTTCTTCTGCAGTTAAGGCTTCACAGAAATTTGCTGTTTACTCAAATCTTCTCACAACTTTATTCTTCCATCAAGGCTCCGCTCATCTTCTTCCATCCATTAAGGTGTTCTCTGCCCTTTCATCTGCAGTTAAGGCTTCACTGAAATTTGCTGTTTACTCAAATCTTCTCACAACTTTTTTCTTCGATCAAGGCTCCCCTGAACATCTTCCTTCCATTAAGGTGTTCTCTCCCCTTTCATCTGCAGTTAAGGCTTCACTGAAATTTGCTGTTTACTCAAATTTTCTCAACTTTATTCTTCCATCAAGGCTCCGCTCATCTTCTTCCATCCATTAAGGTGTTCTCTCCCCTTTCTTCTGCAGTTAAAGTCTTCACTGAAATTTGCTGTTTACTCAAATCTTCTCAGGCTCCTCACTCTCCCCACTTTTTAAGGCTTAAATCAAGGCTCCCTCAACTTCTTCCTTCCATTAAGGTGTTCTCTCCCTTCATCTACAGTTAAGGCTTCACTGAAATTTGCTGTTTACTCAAATCGTCTCAAAACTTTTTTCTTCCATCAAGGCTCCCCTCATCTTCTCATCTTCTTCCTTCCATTAATCAGGCTCGCTCATCTTCTTCCTTCCATTAAAACTTTTCCTGCTTTCTTCTTTCATTAAAGCTAAATCTTAAGGTGTGTTCTCTCCCTTTCTTCTGCAGTTAAGTCTTCACTGAAATTTTCTGTTTACTCAAATCTTCTCAAACTTTATTCTTCCATCAAGGCTCCCCTCATCTTCTTCCTTCCATTAAGGTGTTCTCTCCCTTTTCTTCTGCAGTTAAGGCTTCACTGAAATTTACTGTTTACTCAAATGTTCTCACAACTTTATTCTTCCATCAAGGCTCCGCTCATCTTCTTTCTTTCCATTAAGGTGTTCTCCCCCCTTTCTTCTGCAGTTAAGTCTTCACTGAAATTTGCTGTTTACTCAAATCTTCTCACAACTTTGTTCTTCCATCAAGGCTCCGATCATCTTCTTCCTTCCATTAAGGTGTTCTCTCCCTTTTCTTCTGCAGTTAAGGCTTCACTGAAATTTACTGTTTACTCAAATGTTCTCACAACTTTATTCTTCCATCAAGGCTACGCTCATCTTCTTCCTTCCATTAAGGTGTTCTCCCCCCTTTCTTCTGCAGTTAAGGCTTCACTGAAATTTGCTGTTTACTCAAATGTTCTCACAACTTTATTCTTCCATCAAGGCTCCGCTCATCTTCTTTCTTTCCATTAAGGTGTTCTCCCCCCTTTCTTCTGCAGTTAAATCTTCACTGAAATTTGCTTTTTACTCAAATCTTCTCACAACTTTATTCTTCCATCAAGGCTCTGATCATCTTCTTCCTTCCATTAAGGTGTTCTCTCCCTTTTCTTCTGCAGTTAAGGCTTCACTGAAATTTACTGTTTACTCAAATGTTCTCACAACTTTATTCTTCCATCAGGGCTCCGCTCATCTTCTTCCTTCCATTAAGATGTTCTCCCCCCTTTCTTCTGCAGTTAAGACTTCACTGAAATTTGCTGTTTACTCAAATCTTCTCACAACTTTATTCTTCCATCAAGGCTCCGCTCATCTTCTTCCTTCCATTAAGGTTTTCTCTCCCCTTTCTTCTGCAGTTAAGGCTTCACTGAAATTTGCTGTTTACTCAAATTTTCTCACAACTTATTCTTCCATCAAGGCTCCGCTCATCTTCTTCCTTCCATTAAGGTGTTCTCTCCCCTTTCTTCTGCAGTTAAAGGCTTCACTGAAATTGGCTGTTTACTCAAATCTTCTCACAACTTTATTCTTCCATCAAGGCTCCGCTCATCTTCTTCCATCCATTAAGGTTTTCTCTCCCTTTCTTCTGCAGTTAAAGGCTTCACAGAAATTTGCTGTTTACTCAAATCTTCTCACAACTTTATACTTCCATCAAGGCTCCGCTCATCTTCTTCCATTCATTAAGGTGTTCTCTCCCCTTTCTTCTGCAGTTAAGGCTTCACTGAACTTGCTGTTTACTCAAATCTTCTCACAAATTTATTCTTCCATCAAGGCTCCGCTCATTTTTTCCTTCCATTAAGGTGTTCTCCCCCCATCTTCTGCAGTTAAGGCTTCACTGAAATTTGCTGTTTACTCAAATCTTCTCACAACTTTATTCTTCCATCAAGGCTCCGCTCATCTTCTTCCATCCATTAAGGGGTTCGCTCCCCTTTCTTCTGCCGTTAAGGCTTCACTGAAATTTGCTGTTTATTCAAATATTCACACAACTTTTTTCTTCGATCAAGGATCACGTCAACTTCTTCCTTCCATTAAGGTGTTCTCTCCCCTTTCATCTGCAGTTAAGGCTTCACTGAAATTTGCTGTTTACTCAAATCTTCTCACAACTTTATTCTTCCATCAAGGCTCCGCTCATCTTCTTCCATCCATTAAGGTGTTCTCTCCCCTTTCTTCTGCAGTTAAGTCTTCACTGAAATTTGCTGTTTACTCAAATCTTCTCACAACTTTTTTCTTAGATCAAGGCTCCCCTCAACTTCTTCCTTCCATTAAGGTGTTCTCTCCCCTTTCATCTACAGTTAAGGCTTCACTGAAATTTGCTGTTTACTCAAATCGTCTCAAAACTTTATTCTTCCATCAAGGCTCCGCTCATCTTCTTCCTTCCATTAAGGTGTTCTCTCCCCTTTCTTCTGCAGTTAAGTCTTCACTGAAATTTTCTGTTTACTCAAATCTTCTCACAACTTTATTCTTCCATCAAGGCTCCCCACATCTTCTTCCTTCCATTAAGGTGTTCTCTCCCTTTTCTTCTGCAGTTAAGGCTTCACTGAAATTTACTGTTTACTCAAATGTTCTCACAACTTTATTCTTCCATCAAGGCTCCGCTCATCTTCTTTCTTTCCATTAAGGTGTTCTCCCCCCTTTCTTCTGCAGTTAAGTCTTCACTGAAATTTGCTGTTTACTCAAATCTTCTCACAACTTTGTTCTTCCATCAAGGCTCCACTCATCTTCTTCCTTCCATTAAGGTGTTCTCTCCCTTTTCTTCTGCAGTTAAGGCTTCACTGAAATTTACTGTTTACTCAAATGTTCTCACAACTTTATTCTTCCATCAAGGCTACGCTCATCTTCTTCCTTCCATTAAGGTGTTCTCCCCCCTTTCTTCTGCAGTTAAGGCTTCACTGAAATTTGCTGTTTACTCAAATGTTCTCACAACTTTATTCTTCCATCAAGGCTCCGCTCATCTTCTTTCTTTCCATTAAGGTGTTCTCCCCCCTTTCTTCTGCAGTTAAATCTTCACTGAAATTTGCTTTTTACTCAAATCTTCTCACAACTTTATTCTTCCATCAAGGCTCTGATCATCTTCTTCCTTCCATTAAGGTGTTCTCTCCCTTTTCTTCTGCAGTTAAGGCTTCACTGAAATTTGCTTTTTACTCAAATCTTCTCACAACTTTATTCTTCCATCAGGGCTCCGCTCATCTTCTTCCTTCCATTAAGATGTTCTCCCCCCTTTCTTCTGCAGTTAAGACTTCACTGAAATTTGCTGTTTACTCAAATCTTCTCACAACTTTATTCTTCCATCAAGGCTCCGCTCATCTTCTTCCTTCCATTAAGGTTTTCTCCCCCCTTTCTTCTGCAGTTAAGGCTTCACTGAAATTTGCTGTTTACTCAAATCTTCTTACAACTTTATTCTTCCATCAAGGATCCCCTCCTCTTTTTCCTTACGTTAAGATATTCTCTCCCCTTTCGTCTGAACCAAAGACTAGGACTCTCACACAATCTTTTATACCTCCTAGCAAACCATTAATATTGCTGACGTAAATCAACATCTTCAAAATTATGTCCCAAGAATCTTGCAATTAGGAACTTCTCCGCTAAATTCTGTAATTTCTAGAAATATTTTCTCTTTCAGTGTCATATATAATCTTGTAGCTTTCATCCTATTACATCTTTGAAACTCGGAAAAAATGAAACGTGTTTTTAAATATTTCCAGATTTCAGTATTAATTTAGTTCTATATTTAAATACTTCTCAGTATACATTATGCTGATCGGTTCAAATAAATTGACTGTTTATCTTAAAAATGACCGACAATCTGCTGTTAACTATATTATATTTATTAATCATCGGAGAGAGCATTTTTTGCCTTTCACCAACATAGCTGACTCAGACATCGCTGCCTTTTCTCGGGTTAGCATTTTCTGCTGACCTGAAGTGGAAAGGTTTTATTGAATTAACTATTTAGCTTGATGCTAAGAAATTTGGTTCATTCTAGACAATTTTTTCCCTATCTGTCTTACATATTTATAAGTAAGCCATTCGTGCATGCTTTCAATATTTCTTCTACATATGGTCTGGTACCTCTGTTATATATTTAGAGATTCTTGATAAAATACAAAAAGAATGCGCAACATTATTGGTCCTGACCTGGCATCTCTGTTCCCATCATTTCTCACCGGCGAAATATAGCCTCTCTGTGCAATTTTATGAATACTTTCATAGTAAATTTTCTGATGAACTTTCTTCTATGTCACCTAGACCTTATGACTTTAAGCACAGTACTAGATTGTCGTCAAGGTTTCATAAATTTACAGTTGAATTGGTTAGATGAAGCCGTAAGTTCTATGCTAAGTGTTTCTTCTTTCGCACCTCTCGCTTGTGGAACGCTCTTTCGAATTCGTGCTTTCCAGCCATCTTTGATCTTCAAAAATGTAAAAGCAATGGCATTTGTTATCTACTTTCTTCTTGACTCCTGCTCTCTTTTTTTATTCTCTCTCTTTAATAATATTTATCTTTCTTCTAGTTTTTCACGCTCAGTAACCTCTTGTGTCTTAGTATATCTAGTGCCCTTCTTAGGCTGAAATGATTAATTAAAAAGCAACGCATTATTTATATACTAACTTCTATTATACATCAAATCAATTTGTCTCTTTATATTTTATATTGTCTATCGAAGGAATTTAGCATTGCTGCGAGATTGGCATCTGGGTCTTATCGTTTTACTATTGGAATAGCTAGATGTAATAGTAAATTTCTTTTTTCACACTTCTCACCTGTGAAACTCTCTTCCCGTTTCTGGCTTCTCCTATCTTCAAAAACTTAAGTGCAACACCAATCGCTATCTTTTGTCTTTCTGAGTCCTCTTCTGTCATTGTCCTTTCTCCTCACTAACTTCTTTTCGTTTTCTCTCACTCTCAGTAACCCCGTATGCCTTAGTGGCATTATCGCTATGCTTGGAATGAAACGATTTTAGAAAGAAATTCTAAATATTACGCTACTTCTATTATTATAGACTTTGTTGACTGACTCATCTGTAATTGGATGACATTGGAGTTTTATTATAGAAGCATAGTTTTGAAATCAGTTGGAAACCTTCTAATAGTTCTCTCAAAATTCTACAGGTTTGAACTTACTGGAATTACGAATCAATCAAAATTGACGCTCGCTATACGAGCTGATAATCGAGGTTTTTACCCTTGTCTAATATGAAAATGAAACCATCCTCCTGCCTCTCTCTTTTTCGCTCATTCAATATATTAACTCTCGCTATAAAAAGCGGCCATAGGCGACTCACGATGTTTTTCGTCAAATGCCAAGATCTTTGGTTGATGATCTTTATGGCCACAAGGTTAAAAATGAGGTTTCTTTTCGTAACGTTTTGACTTATACTAAAATATTTGTAAATACACTGTTGCATAGATATTTGCTCAATCGAAAAGCGTTATTGGCCATTTGACTTTACAAAGTTTTTTTGTTTTTTTTCTCAGACACAACAAGAAGATACCATTAAGGAGATTATAAATAACTCGGACGACTTTGGTTATTACTGTTTACAGAGAGAGGATTTCGCCGAGAAGTAAGATCAAAGGGCATTTACTGCGATCGAAGAGTCTCATGTCCCTTCAGAATTCTTTAGACAATCTAACACCAATTTATTTATAGGTGAATATAATGGATTTACCAACGACAATAAAGTTGAAAAGCTCGCATTTTAATTCCATGATGAAGAATAGTTTCGACTATACTGTTATTGCTAGATAGTTTTAAAATTGTGCATCTTCTATTTTTGTCTTAAAGATTAACGGACACACCTTGTCTTATAGTTGAGCTGACAAAAACGCTTTCCTTACAATTTAGCTGACATATTTTTCTTACAATTTAGCGGACACAATTTTGTATTACAATTTAGCAGACACGGATTTATATTTCCTATTTAGCTGACACACAACTTGCTTAAATACCATTGAGACACGCATTGTCTTATAGGTTAGCTATCAAAAGCTTGTATTACAGTTTATCTAATCAATATTTTGTCTTATAATTTAACTAACGCAGACTTTGATTTGCAAAGTTCTAGGCAATTTATCTCGCCCGAAACTATCTTACATATTTATAAGTCTACAACTCCTCCTTGCTTTGAACATTGCTATCACATCTGGTCTGCTGCTCCTGCTATATTTTTAAAGATTCTTGATAAAATCCAAAGAGGAATCTGCAGTGATATTGGTCATGACTTGGCATCTCAGTTTCAGTCCCTTTTCAACTGCTGTAATGTAGCTTCCCTGTCTCTTTTATAAATACTTTCATGGTAATTGTTCTGATGAACTTTGTTCTAAGGTACATAGACTTTATGAAGTTAAGAGCAGTACTAGATTGGCGGCAAGGTCTCATCAATTTACAGTTGAAATGGCGAGATGTAGCCGTAAGTTCTATTCTAACAGTCTATTCTATCGCACTTCTCGCTCATAGAACTCACTTCCGGCCTCTTGCTACCTAGTTTTTTATTGTCCTCTCTCCTTAATAGTAGGTTTTCTTATATTCTCTTACACTCAGTAACCTCTTGCGTCATAGTGGCAAAAATTACTGGACACACATTTGTCTTACATTTTACCGGACACATATTTAGTCATACAGTTTAGCTGACACACATTTTATTTACAATTTAGGAGGCGCACATCTAGTAGATTAAATTAGCGGATACACACTTTGTTTTACAGTTTACATCATGCACACTGAATTAGATATTAATGCGGACACACTTTGTCCTACAGTATAGCACATACATACTTTATCTTACAGTTTAACAAATTCACAATTTTTCTTACTGTTTATGTGGTGCATATTTTAACTTTCTGTTTAGCAGACACACATTTTCTTTTAACATTTAATGGACACACATTTTCTTTTGTAGTTGAGCATGAACACATATTTTTTAAAAGTTTGTCCTAATAAAAAAAACTTTTGTAGAAAGATGAGAAGGTAACGAAAAGAAGAATAAAAAAGAAGTAAAATAATAAAAAAAAAACGATATGAAATAAAAATGAAGGGATTAAAGGGGCGAAATAAAATAAGATAGACAGAAGCCGAGAGAAAAGAAAGAAAGAAAGAAAGAAGAAATGAAAGGAACGAAAAGAGGAGATGGGGTGAAAATCAAAAAGAAAAAAAGAAAAAAAAAAGAATGTTAAGCAAGAAGAAGACAGTAAAAAAAAGTTTGTTTGTGCTAGACAGTTTTTTTATCTCCAGAATCATTCTCACATATTTATAAGTCTACCATTCGTCCATGCTTAGAATATTGCTGCTACATATGGTCCTAAGCTCCTGCCACATGTTAAGAGATTCTTGATAGAATCCAAAGAAAAAGCAACAATATTATTGGTCCTGATCTGGCATCTCGGCTATGCCTTTTCTATAAATACATGTTTAGTATCCTTTATCCCAAATCCCTAAGTTTTCCAAATGTTTACATGACTTGCCACAAATTGAAAATTACTGTTGCAAGTGACCCTCATCTGCCCTGGGTGGGATTTCCCAGCCCACCTACGTAGCCTACGTTGGCGACAGTTTTTTTCTTGTTAGCCATCGTCTCTGCAAAACCCCCGTTCGAGGATTACCTACCAGGCGTGTTGTGCTCAGTCAAAGTATTATTCAAAATGTCAAAAAGTCCTGCGGATACCGCTCTGGATAGTGAGAAGAAGTAGAAGTATTTATGATTACCAATATCACAGAAAATCACACTGCTGGAAAAAAAAAACAATAAACAGGTGGAAGTGTGAAGCGCCTAAATGAGATAGGAACAACGAATTGGCGATGTTAAAATCAAACTTATAAAAAAAAATTGACTCTTGTTTGTGTTTTATCAGACAACGGATAATATAACCCGTAAATCCGAAAGCCTATTACTATAGCGAAATATGCAATTGGAAAACCGAAGAAAGGAATGGTGGACATAACGTGAAACGACAATCTGATTCTACAAAGAATGTTAAGGTTATCGCGAAAAATGGATTAGATATAGTGTTTTCCTTTATCGATTTTTTAGCAGTTAACCTAACAATGGATTCAATGTAGATATTTCACTTAATTTCAGCCTTGAATGTTAACCCGAAAAGGAGGTTAGCATCAGCCATACTAATTGTTATAGTGGAACACACCTATTCTATTGTTAATAGACTCTCCCACCTATAATAAGTAGGAGTAGTAGCTAAGGCGCTCAGCGAGTTGGTCAGTCAGTCGATGTCGGACGGCCGTTAGTCAGATATTAAAGTATCAGCCACCACCACTAGATTACTGCGTCATTACCTATTATATCAAGTTCCTAACGTTTTGTACGTCGAACCTATTTTAGGACCGACTTAGTGAAATACAAGCCTCCGCTGTGAAACTACTCTACAACACTAATGGAAGGAGTCTCTCAGATGATTAATAGAGAGCAGTTTTGTTTTAGAGGCGTTAAAATTAACAAGCCGTTCTTTGCCCCAGTTAACAACAGACTGTAGGCCATTTTTTTACATCAGCCGCCAATTTGACCTTATCGAGCGGAT